CGGCGCTGGGACGCTGCCGCGTGCTTCGCCCCTCCCACAAGGAGCGGCTACAGGATGCCCTGGGCTCCGAAGGGAGCCCTGACCCAGCCTTACTCTGCAGGACCACAATGCCTTTATTTATACTCTGACGTATTTGCTCTCAGAAGCTTCCCTTCTCTCCGGACTGTTTCAGTTCATGGTCTGAGATGGCAAAAGAACTGCCTGATAATGAAGAGTTGCTATGGCAACCACTCATTTTATTAACACCACAAATGGCATTGAATCACCTGTCGGAGGAGAGGATATTTCCCTCTGCTGAAGGGACTCTTGGGAACGCAAGTCCTGTCTCGCTGCTCGTCCAGATCCTCCCACAAGCTCTGTCAGGTCCGACTTCACCATTACACGTTTGCTTATGAAAGCAAGGTGGGAAGTTAGTGAACCCATCGGAGCTCCGGAGACAGCAGCGTTACCAGGGATTAACACTATATCACCCTGCAGCTCTGCCAGGGCTTAGCCCTGGCAGCTCATCATTTGCACTGCTGCACAACTGCTGACCTCAAACGCTGTCTCTCCCTTCCCACTTTCCAAACCAGATTACTGCTAAAGTTATCATATTCTATGCTTTTTGTTTCCTAAAAACTAAAGCAGTAGCATACTCCATGATGAAATTTGCAATTTTTTTGTGACAAGTGCTAAAAAACACATTAAAAAAAGAAAGCAGAGATGTGCGCGCTGTCTCCAGTGAAGAAGCGGAGGTGTGAGAAAAATCCATCGTCACCTGCACAAGGAGCACTGGTACAAGGGGCCCAAAGGCACAGCCCCTCCACAGAGCAGCCGTCCAAACAACAGTTCCCTTCCCGTCCAGAAAAGGCAAGTCATAAACCAAGAGGCCTCTGCCAATCCAAACGCCCTTCGGCCTATATCAAGGAGACGCACACACCCCTTACGCACAGTCTCTTGCTATTTTTCCCAACCTCAAGAGGTAGAGGAAAGCACTCCATGCCAGGCACCAGATGCCTGGGGAAGGCCTTCTCCAAGGATGTTCATTATCCGTACGTGAACAGAGTCTCACGTTCTATGGACAAGGCGGCACAGCACAGAACCACCATGCTGCTGAAGACCCCAAAGGGTTCCCATCAGCTCTATTTCTCCCGAACCTGCAAGCTCACAAGTAACCTGCCAGCTTATACCTTAGGTGATTTTAGTCGATGTGCCCCATCAGTTGCAACATTTCAAAGACCACCTTAAGCATCAGTGGAAAGAATCCTACTGCTTTTGGAGACAACTGGAAAACCATTTCCATATACTGCTCACTTCATGCTGCAGTTAGAAGATGTCTGCGATGCAAACAGTAACACAGACTCTTTTGTTCCAGTTCATTTCTATATTTCAATCAGGAGAGCTCAAATACATCAATAATAAAAAAAAAAAATCTGAGAAACTTTGAGAGCCTGTGAGCTATTGAGCAGGAGCCACTTGGAGGAGGAGCAGGACACCTGATGTGCACTGCTGTGCCCTCCACCCCGGGCCCAACTTGGGCAAGGCCAGGTATCTTTGACGAGTCCGACCTTACATATCCAGAAAAGAAGCCTGTGCAGAAAGGCCATATTTGGTTCCAACTTCACCGCAAAAAGTCTGCCAATGAAAGGCAGAGTTCATATGGGAAGTATTCGTATTTCAAGAAAAGTATGTTAAAAAAAAATTCTTTATTGCCCTCTTTCCAGTTTCAGACATATCTTAGTAAACAGACTAGCAGCTTAAGACACTTGAAAAAAGGGCAAAAGCAGGAAATAAATGAATGAGTAATATTTTAGAACGATTTTAGGTAAACATTCTTTGGTACAGATAACACTCACTGCATACATTTAAACAAGGCAGGACGAATACTGTATTTTCACAATGTTCCACAGCTTTGGTGGGATTTTTTCAGGATCCTGTGACTTGCACTGGGTTTTAAATAGAACATAGTGCCAGTGCTGCTTTTCTTACAGCATCTGTTGCTTTATGGTAATTAGTCCTCACAGCTGCTAATTACACCTTGATTTTTGGTGATATCTCAGCTATATTTTTCTTTAGAAGGGAAAAATAAAACTGGATCCTTGTGCCGGGGCTATCTATTGAAACTGCAGGTGCTAAAAACTGAACAGCTTTCTTCCACACAGCTAGGAGTTAGCCTGTGCTTCTCACAACGCTCCATCAGCAGTGTCATCTCACACAGAACAGTTATTTACGCCCAAACCACGCTTCCAGTTTGATTGCTCATTCTTTATTTTCCCAGGGGACTGATGAATTGGGTATGATTACATGCATACACTGAAGAAACTGGTGCCATGAAGTTTGTTTCGTTTATCAGCAGGTTGGACTTGAATCTGCAAGCTCAAAAGTAGGAACACTGCTTTCTTTCCCAATTCTTCCAAATCGTGCTCTATTTTCTCATACGTAAATCCAGCCTAAAGCCAGATTTGATTTTCTCTAGGATGATTAGTACCTAAGGGTATTCTCCTTGGCCGCAAAAGAAAAGGCGGTTCTAATTTGTTTCCTCTTTTACCTGGAGAGACGCTAAGAGATTCACCAGCTCTTCACGCCCGCTTGGTGCGGAGCACCTGCCTGGCTGCAACACGCACTGCGGGAGCTCAGCGGCAATCACCACGCACGACATCTGCGCTTCGCGTCCGCAGCCTGGACTGAACAGAGCAGGCCAGCAAGGGCCGGGCTCTCTTCTGCTGGAGAGAAGCAGCAGAAGTTCTCCATTTGAAAAGACTTGCACAGCCAAAAGTCAGCACAGCATGCAATTACCTGCTGTAGCCAATATAAAGACTTTTTTTTTTTTTTTTAAAAAAGGAAAAGGAATGTTTCAGTTGATCCCCTGGTGCTAAGATCATCCGACCCTGAGACCGGAGCAGGGTGCAGGCAGCTGTTGGCACACACAAGCTGCGTAACATGACGTTTTTGGAAAGGCAGGTAACAGTTCCACGTCTATAACAGCGCCTACTACAAGTTACAGTACTGTATCGAGTCCATGAAAACATACTACAAGAGGACTATGGATATAAAATGCTTTTTCAAATATGGTAATCCATTACTGCTCTATTGAGAGCCTAATTCATTTTGTTTCAGATGCACGCAGACATTCCTTTATAGGTAAATGAGAAAATTGCACTACTCAATTATCTTCAGCCTGTTACCCAATTTATCCATTTTCAACACTCCCAGGAGCTTGTTCCTTATTCTCTGCAAGCAGATTATTATGCATAGTGTCATTAGGAAGTGCTTATGAATTGTATGTACAAAACACTAGAACTGAAACAAATGGTGCATTATAATTCCGTTGCTAAACATGAGTTCCAGATACCAGCTGGGAAGCATGCACGTGTCAAGATTAAGCTTTTGTCTGAACTGAAGCAATGTTGACTTTTATAGCAAGTAGAAAGGGATCTAAATGCTTTTAGAGGCAAAATTTGAGTTAACAGGCCCTTGGATGTAATGATCCATCCAGAGACGTGCCATGGAAAACACACCGATACGTGTGTCACTCCCCGCAGGCTGATCGGAAAACCAACCCCATACTAGCGAATTTCAAATACTGCACTGCTGCTCGGAGGAAAGAAGAAGAAAATATCACATTACAAATAAGGCACTGAGACAGGCTCACTTTGTTGGTAGGTCAGTGAAGTGTCACAGCATCCTCTTGGCCCAGGTCCCCGCAGCAGGAGTCCTGCTGCTGTCCTGTTGTACTGTTGTTGTCAGGCTAACCTGACACACAGCGTCGGGCGGGAAGAGCAACCATCACTATCTCTGCTGTCTCCCCGTTCAGCAGCTGTGCCTAAGCAAGCCACGCTCTGTGCTGGCAAACCCAAACGCCTGCATAGCCACGAGCCACAGTCAGCTGGAGGTCCAACAGCTCCACAGCTGCCACCTCAACCAGGAGGAACTCAACAGCTCCTACGCACTGGGGATGGACCACAAAAGACAGCAAATTTCCCAAATTCCAGCTTCCCTGTGGATAAAACACTCCATTAAAAATCCCCATACCCAGTTTAGTAGTGAAAAAGATTGCTGTTCTGCTGCAGAACTTAACGCTTTGGATAATCTGATGTGATACACTGCTATTCTTCAAATTGGGCCATAAAACATTTAGAGCATATTCATTCTGGGCAGAAGATCTGAATTGTCTAAACCGAATGAATTGTTTCTTGCTTGCTAGCTCTATAAAGCACAGATGTTCATACTAGCGCTCAGAAAAAAAAAGCAGGTTCAGCTGCTTCAGCAGCTGGACAGCAGAATGGCAGCTCCCAGCAGCTCCACGTCGCAGGACCACAGAACTGAACCACCTGTTTTTCACCTGAGATCTCAAAGAGTGGCGGCACTCAGAGAAGCACATCAGCCCAAGCCACAGACTCATCAGCCCATAAACAGGAGAAACTGGGGGAGGCACTGCAGCAAACTGAGAACCAGAGCATCACTATTTAAGTGTTTTGCTGCCCGTTTTCTCACCAGCAAGTCAACAAGAATAAAGCAGAGAATATTCTAGGACTGCTGCTGCTTCGTTTCTGATCCCACTAAGAAACGAATGCTAATGACATGGCAAAGCACTTTAATTACCCTTAGACTGGCAAGTGTGTTTGCCTGCCTCAGATCAGCTGTTCTTCAGAAGTGAGAAGACTGCATGAGTCTGACCACAACCGCTTGCTCCATCACACAGGAAACCTTTTCCCTGAGGAGCCTTGGCTGTAACTCCCTGCACCAGCAAGATCTTACTGCCTCAAAAGTTGACTGGTGTGTGGTCCTTTGACCAAGGAGAGGATTCCATCCTGCACGTGACCTTCACCAGCCTCTATTCCATCCTCATCCTCCCCATTTCGGTGCCTTAAAGCCCTACCCTGCGTCGTACCTGTATCGGGGCATGGCCACTGCTGCTCTCGCAGATTCACCCTTGCAAGTACACAGTGAGGAGGCTCAGTTACATTTAATGAATATGATGGTAAAGCCTGATTTTACTCACCGCCGTGTACAAATCCAAGCAGAGTGCAGTCTGATGGTCCCACCAAGTGAATCAGGCTAGACTGGCTGTAGCCCACAGTATGCGGCTCTGTTTAAAACAGACAGACAGAAAGCAGAGATGTCAAACCTCGCAGGCAGGAGGCAGAGCATGATCTTGCCCGACTGCAACCTGATGTCACGCAAGAATGCTGTCAGGAGCCTGAGGACAACTGTCTGGCTCACCGTAAGGGATGAAAATGTTATGTTATGTTATTCAAAACTGAAATACTTTCAAATCAGTTCAATCAATCAACTGACATCCGTCCTGAAGAGTCCTGAAAGAAAAGGCTGTTTAATACATGATGGACTGCCAAGTCTCTCTAATATTAACCTACTAACTTTATTCAAATTCTGCTTGGTTTTTTTTTTTGTTTTTTTATAAAGTTAACGAGAGCCTCAAAACAAACTGAAAGTAATTGAATGGGATTGGTAGCCTGAGAAAGAAAACTGTAAAGCTATCAGTTGCATGCTAAACTGAAGCATTGTACACTAGATTTTCCTAAACGTGGTTTACTTACCTGTCTGCCATTTAACAATGTATCAACAGGACCATGCTTTCAGCTCAGCTTTACTAACGTCTCTATTCCCACATCCCCAAGCAATGGCATGTACCGGCGTCATCTGACATGCAAGTGCCACTAAATCTAAGTGACATATATCGTGCCCTCAGATTGCCAGCAGAGAAGAAAAAAAACAAAAACAAACACTGGTCTCAGAGGCCCATTCCTGGCCTTTGAATCTTTTGTTTAATGAGATATAATGCATCGGTTAAGGCACTCATTATAAGAAAAACAAACCAAGTACCCAACCGCTTAATATTATAACCTCTCCGTGAAAGTCACTAAGAGTAACAGCAATGCAAAGAGCATGTAAGCATGCTCCCCCCGTGCCTTTGCAGGCGCGCACACACACGACACAGTATCCACGAAATGCCGTGTCCGCAGCCTTACCTTTAGTCTGTCTATCTGTGAGCAGGGAGAGTAAAGAAAAAGGTATTTGAGCAATTTTAATTATCACGGAGGCGACCCACTTCAATCCCCATATGCTGGGATTACATCCACACACAGTCAGATACATTTTAAAAGGCTCAAGGACTGGCCTCGTGGGCACTAACAGCACATAAGTTTGAGGTGTGCAAGCAATGCTTTTGAGATCCCTGGTAACTGGAGCAGCTTCAAACAACGATCACTGTACAGCAGTGGACAAACGCCTCTGCCTCCCGATAACTCACCCTCGAGCTCAAACATCGGCTGATGAATTTCTTGCTAAAAAAATTGTTTCCAGAGAGTAGCTGCACATGCAGACAGCTGCAAAAACACATTCACACTTACTAAAAGCCTACATTTCCCTGACTGCTGAACAAAACTTGTTACCACTGCTCAGAAACCAACAAGCCATTTCATCTCACCTTGACAAAGACATGCAAGGCGGTAAAAGCAACCTGCCAACCAGTCTCTGGAACAAGATCGGAGGAGCTCATTCACCCCTTGCGATTTGTTGCTAGGCAACTGCTGCACAAAAAGCCTGAATCCATGTACCATTCTCACATTTTAAAGGTAGTTAAAATGAACAGACTCCAGAGAAAGCATATCCATTCAAAATGATAAAAATAGTCTGCAGATCACCTCTTCCAACTCTCCCTCCAAGAATGGTGTCTTTGGTCACATACCTCACTAAATCTCCAGAATTATATTGCAAATCCCGACACATCATCTTTGAGTATGCACTCTTAGCCACAGACACTTGAAAAAAGCTCAAGTTGCCTCCTTTAATGCACGGATGCACACTCTTGGACTGCACACGCTCTGCCACACGAGGTCTATAAATACCAGCACGCAGCAGTGCAGCCAGTCTGTGCTCCGAGCTGCCGATCTGAAATCCAATAGCTCTAGCAACTGGGAGAGAAGGATTGGTTGTGTGAAAGCAAACTCCAGAAGACCAACTGCAGCTAATCTAGTTTGTGCAAAAACCCCTCCCTTTATCTCCCTTGATCATTCAGATCTTGGAGCCTGGAGTCACTGCTCGCCTAGAGGTAACCCGGAGCAAGTTGGTGATCTTGATACTGAAGGGAGAAGCCTGAAGAAAGCGTTCTTCTTGGCCATCATGGCAGCAAGAGCTTCAGGAGAAGCTTCCTTTAGCCAAGACAGAACTTACAAGGAGCAATGGAGACTTCACCAGGAGCAAGGAGGAAAAGTATTAACTTGGAGAAGTGACTGAACGGTCCCTGCCGTGATCCTCTGACCACTTCCCAAAAGCCTTCCCGCTTTCTCCCAACTTCGGCATACCACAGAGACATTTCTCTAGAATACACATTGCCCCTGCTGAATGCATTACCTGGGTTGATCACAGGGAAGATCACATCCCCATTTCTTTGTTTAGTTTCCAGTCGATCCAGTTTTTGCTCTTCATAACGTTTCTTTCCTTCATCTTCCTGCTCTTTTCGTGCATACTGAAAGGAAAGAAAACACAGTTCACTCTCCTGTGCATCCCACCAAGAGGTGAGCTGCGCACAAGTGGAAAGCCTGAGAGGGAGAGGATGGGTGCTCACTGCGGGGACTACTCTGTTAGTAGGGACCTGGGCCTGCACTTATTAATCTCATGTACTATCAAGGGACACCTTGCAGTACTGTGGAAAACCAAGCACTGCCATCAGCAACAGTCTCGGGCTCTCGATCAAATTAGCTGCGATGGAGTAGGGGATCAGGCACCGACCAGCCCTCTCTCCACCTGCACACGTCCTAACGAGCTGCCTGAAAACTCTCCCAGAAGCACACACAATCCCGAGTGGCAAGACGAGCACAGCTGTCAGGAAGCACTCCAGGTCAGGAAGACGGCATGTACAACCTCTTGCTGTTGTCACGATTTCATATTAAAGTCAAAAGAGAATATAGCCTTATTCTAGACCTGTCAAGTATAGTCACTGCCAGTATTTAAACACAGAACAAACAGCTATCCATTTCAAATAGGAAAACCAGTATTGGGAACAACATCCAACAGTACTGCTCAGAAGAGACACCAAAGTAAACAGGCGGTGCCTGAGCCTCTCTGAAGGGTAACTTTTAAAGCTCAAATATATACAAGATGATGTTTAGCAATCCCTGTCCTGAAAAGCTTGCAGTATGAAGACGTATACTGAAAGGACAGAACATCAGCAAAGCAAAGCACATGCAACCAGAGGGCCAGATAAGTGAAAAGCGACATCTAAATAAATTGTTCCCACTCCATATTAATTCCTCCAGGCCCTCTACAATAAAGGGGGAAAGTTCCCAGTTTGCAACTTCAGCCACCATTTGCCGGCTAACGCTCCAAAGCTTTATGCCAAAGAGATGCTCTGGGACATCACCGACACGGCTTCCACTTGGTGCCACTGCTTCCCATGCTGCTCCTTCCCTGCAGGTCGGCTTCCCACTGACACCATCCATCAGGCCGAAGTACCCGTTTCGCCCAGTCCCTGGCAGGGATCCTGATCTCCATTTGCCAACACAGCGAACACTCACTTCCAACATCCATATTCCTCAGTGAAAAACCATGGGTTTCTTATATGGCCACTCCTGGCTGCTTTGTGCCAGAAGTGCCGAGTCAGACATATGTGGTATCGGCCATTTTGGGAGACAGGAGGAATCTTTACCTTCAGGTTACTGAAGAAATATTGCCCAGGACAAAGCCCCCGAAGTGCTGAAAGCACCTGTCGCACTCAGATGCCTGGAGGTACTGTTGATTACAAGATTTGAAAGAGAAGAGAGCGCTGCTCCTCCAGGACTGAGCTCACTTGAGCAAACGTCTCCAGGTGACCAGGCTTCTCTCCTAGGTTCTGATTAGGAACAGGCACCTCCTTTGTTTCAGGATGGTGACGCTGGCACAAGGCTGGCAGCTGCTTTTGTGGCTGCTTCACTGAGAGCTGGCAATGCATCGATATGGTTGCACGTCTCTCCTCACTGGAGGAGAGCAGCCTTTGAGGACCATGGAGGAACCAGGGGGCTCTAGGGAGCCCTGGTCTCCCTCCCCATCATGAGGGGAAGCCCAGGTTTTCTTCTGCCTTCAGCCTGCACCACCAATGCCTCAACGACCTGGCATGCAAGCACTGCATCACCAGAGCAGAGGTCCCGGCACAACGATGGAGACACGTGCTACGCTCTCTGCTCTCAAAGGGTGCAAGGCCCCTCCCGAGCCACTTTGGTACTGCACACCTGGAGCCTGCCCTCCTGCCAACCTTTCCATACAGCTCTCAGAAACAACCACCTCTTTGGACAAAGTCCTCTATGCTATTTAGTGCTTTTATTCCTTGCAAACAGCTGGAAACTGAGCAAAATGTCATCAGGAAAAGGGTATAACTACAGTAAGCGATCTCTCAGCAAGGGAGGGGAAGGTCTAGGTAGATAGCTTGTCTTGTGCCATTTTAATCCTTTGAGCACATTCATTCGTGCTCAAGGGACGCACATGAAAGGTAACCTAATGTTCCAGTCGACATTTTGCTGATAGAATATCCCTGGGTTAGGTCGACACCAGACATCCCTCTGGCTGCTACTAGAGGCTTGAGCACAAGGTATTAAACTCAATTAAAAAGACCGACATCTGCCAGCTCCTCAAGGCTAAAGGCATGTGTGTAGAAAACCAAATTAAGAGTGGACGTTCTGTTCTAATAGCAAAACCTTTCTCATCATCTACACGATGTGCCTACCTCTTACTCAAAACCGGGTTCCAAATTTTGTTTGGAATCTTACCAACTTTCTGGTCGAAGGTGACCCCTTCACGACAAAACACCCAGCTCCTGCCAGAGTAGGATAACTTGGCAGATTTTCTTTGGCCCACCCAACAGCTCATAAAAACGTTCACTTTCCAGGAAAATAAGCCAAGACCAGTCATTTTAAAGATCCCTAAATTGAGTTTGACAAACTGCAGATAGACTGTGGAAGCGCTAATTCAGACCTTCCTGAGAGGTTAAGTGGCAGATGAGTGAGGAGGAAATGATACTGAAGCCCCAAAAATTTCAGGGGAAAAAAAAGCAAGTGAACTTGTTCTGATTTTAGGCAGAAAGGAGGAAATTTATCACGTGTGAGAAATGCAGCTTGACAAGAAAAAGGTTGGGATCAAAGCTCCTTGCTCCAACAGATTTTTTCCATTTGCTCCAGGTAAAATGAATACAAATCCTAGCAGATGAAGTCTTTTTCACTAGCATATTGCTGTGATGGCAGAGTATGACATGCACAAGACAGGACTACCCCTTCCCTAGAAGTCTGGTGAAAAGCAAGTCCCAAGGATTCACGATTTCCTGCAAAAACAGACTGTGTGGCAAGTGACAGGTGTTTCCTAAAATATCAAACAAGCAACAGTTAGGAGTAAAGAACAGGAGTTTCTGAAGCGCTCAATTAGAGAACGTGTTAGTAACAGCAATTTGCTTCTGATGCGCACGTAAGACGACTTGACGCTAGGGCAGGCAGGAGAGCATGCCAGCTGCAGGGAGAACCACCCTCTCTCTCAGTGCGCGGGTGCAGACCCGACACGATACAAGCTGGAGCAGTTGCGGCCACCCAGTCTCTGAAGAGCTGGTGAGCAAGTTTTGCTGGTGTTCAGCAACTCTTCACTGCTGAGCCGAGGAGCCCACTGTTGCCAAGATCACATGAAAGTGAAGTGATACAGCTTTGAAGGTATGCCTGACCACTAGGGGAGGAAAAGCAATGGTCGTGATCCAGACTATAAGAAGAAAGGTTTCCTTCTGTCTGAAGGGAAGCCATTTATTGTACGGATTCTTCAAGCCCAACTGATTTTTAGATAATTTACCAGTTTGGGAGGAGCAATAACCGATTTCAGGTCTGTTCCGCCCTTCCCCTCTAGGCACAGAGGCGGCACCCCGGCAGCAGCCCAAAACCTGCAAGTCAGGGCACCGCACACACAGGCCAGTACTTGGCTCAAGAGGGCTACATGGCTGAGAGGCTTCGCAAGGACCTCCAGTCCACAGCAGCCAGATATTTCCGACCTGACAGCTTAGTCGTGCAGTTAAGAATCTGCTTGTTTTTAAGCCAGAAGATCAATCCCTTCACACACGTGCGCACTCCCTCCAGCACTGCCATGGCACATGGCATAGCAGCAACTGTGGGGAACGAATGCCAGCTTGGCAAAGGTTTCCTGCACTCTGAGCTATGGACTGACCTTGTTTCAGGTAACTGCTGGCAAAGAAAGCTTTCTTCCTCTAGAGGAATCTGCTCAGAGAACGCATGCTGGATCCTATTTATTTTACACTGTTCCCCAGCCCCACCAAAGAGCTGTCACAATGAAAAACAGAGACCTCTTATTTCCATTCATCAGCTACACGGAAAGCAGGGATTGCTTCCCTGGTCATCTATTGCTCTTTAAACAGAGCTGTTTTAATTGGGACTTAACGTAAGCCCACAAGCACTGAAGCACCTCCATAGTTGTGACTCACACACGCATCTAGCTGTCAAGCTCCAATTTTGCAACAGTTTCAGACATCTCTACAAATATTTCTGCTGCAACTGAGAATAGAAGCACAAAGAGCATCTCCTCTCTGTGTCACAAAACCAGGTCTCTGCCATCCTCCCACCCAACACAGGCAGCCTGCAGCTGATGCAGCGGCCTGGAAGACGCACGCCCCAGCTTGTCGTAAGCAAAAGCAGGACTCCCGAGCAGTCTCTACCCTGAACCTCTGGCAAGGTGGGTGACAACGAACAAGCAGTCTTACCTGAATAGGAGGAACTTCAACAACTTTGTTCACATTCTTTAGAGACAAGGGCACGTACCACAGAGTTGCTTTGTTCGTCACCTTCTTAGCCCCTGAAAGAGAGAAAGCAGTGAGTAAAACGCGCGCTGCCCTGTGCTAAGGACGCGCCACCCAAGCGGAGGAACCCCACTGCAGCAGGCCACTTGCCCCAGAACCGCTGAGGCCTGGAGAGCTGGATGCAGCCAGCAGACCAGCCAAACCTCCCCCAGCACAGCCCCCGACTTGACTATTTGTTATTTCCTGCACAGTTTCACGACTTGTCCACCTCCTTCTACAGGTATCCTTGGCAAATCACAGTCTGAGGAAACAGCTTGGTCTCTCTTGAGGCCAGGTGACAGGCCCAAGGTAAGCAGAGCTATACCGAGGAGCAATTTGCCTTTTCACGTAGTTTGCAAGCTTGAGGTATCTGTCACAGCAAGTGCCCTAGATACTTATGCATAATAGGGAGCATGCTCAAGATAACGCACCTGCTACCAACACTACAACGCGCGCACATCTTCCATTGCCAGAGCACCACTGCTGCATCACGAGGTCACAGGCCAGCGCTGAAGACCGAGCTGCTGGAAACGCGAGCAGCAGACGAGGGGTGGAGAGAGACTACTCTGCTTCAGAAATGCTTGAATCTTCTGGCCCTGTACTTTGCCTGCGTGTGAGCAGGCGTGTTTCAGGCATGTGCACACACAAGAAAGGCTGCTCAAGTGTCACAGACTCTGGGTAGCTGCTGTGCTGGTGGGTGCTTTTGAGCAGCCAGGTGACAACACTTGTAAAGACAGGCTTAAACATGACAATTTCCAGCTGGAATCAGGTGAGACCGAGCGGTGAGCATGAACAGTGGCAGAGTTCACGAATGACATGTTGGACGGCTCAGGCAGCTCGGAGCAGGCACTGTTCATACTCCTTGAGGTCAAAGCAGATCATGATTACAGAGGGGCTGGAGGAGTTCGTACACTGCTGTTTGCTCTGCCATACAAGCTGTCCAGAGACAGAGGCCCTGGGACGTTAAGATCAGAGAGAGCAGTTCATCCCCTTTCACAGTCACAGACCTGTCATCAAGCTCACAGGCAGAGTGCTGATGGTGGCTGAGAGGCCAGGGATGCTCATCTAGCCCAACCGAGACCGGCTGCTGTGTGCCCTGCAGCCGAGTCTTTCCCAGTACCTGCATGCCTGTTCTCTGATCTGGCGAGCTGATGCGGTGCTCTCACAGTGGAAGGACATGGCTTACAAACCGCAATGCACGACGGGGGACGTCGCACCACTTCTCTCACAGGAGCTGGCCCGTGCAGTGCCCTGGCAGAGGCTCTGCCCCTTGGAACTGCTGGCCGCAGGGTGTTTTCCCAAATCAGTGCCCGTGGAGGAGCTCCAGAAACAGTCTGCAGCAAAATTAGTGCTTTGTATCAGGGAAACAGCAGAAAATATCACCCCCTCAGTAGCAGGAGATTTAGGAGGCAGATTCCGAGCAAAAAACTTACTGTTCCAAAATTGCCTCAGTTTCTCTTGGAAGTAATAAAAGGGCTTCTAAGCACAGCCCCACTGCTCTCACCACTGCAGGTTCCTCCACCACTGTTTCTGAAAGCCTGCTCTTTTATGGCTTGCAACACAAACTCACGCAACCTTCTGGCAAGGGCTCTGGAACTGCCTCCAGTCCTGCCGACGGCACAACAGCACCGCAGCTCCTCTCCCTCAGCTGACAGGAGCTCCTGACGCAGCCGAGGCACCAGCCTTCGTGGGCATGCCACAGCGCGCGTCTCGGATGAGCTACAGCTCTCTGCTCCCTCAGCAGCTACAAGCAGAGAGGGACTGCATTTCTGCCGTGCTTTGACTCCGAGTGGATCTGACAACGTGCTTTTGGGAATAAGACTTACTGTCACACCCACTAAAACCATCCTGACAAGCAAAGCTAGTTACCACAGCAACCACATGAAAGGACCTTTTTCAGGCTTAAGTGAGCAATGCACACTAAATTATGCAGAACGAGTTAATTGGAGATTTTTACACTCTTTAATAAAAAAGTATCAATAGAACTGTAATTCTCAAGGAGCCTACTTTGAGTCTTAAGAGCTACACTTCTCTTTTCCAGTGCTACTCTTCCTTAATCACTTCCAAGCACATTTAATATTTTGACATTTGGTATTAGTCAAATGAGCGTTCTCACTTGCAAAGCTAGCATGTTAGTTTGGGTGTCTGCATTTATATTTGACAAGTACATTGTCAGTGCTGCAAGTTAGAGGGTGGTGGAGGAGGTGCTGTCACGCTGCATGACATTTGCTGGCTGATGGTTTAGATGAGCTGAGATTGGAGAATCATAGAGGCAGGTTCCAGCTACATCTACTAGTAGTTGTCTTTGCAAAGAAATCTGCATGAAATGCCATCGCCATGGGCAGGTGATGCTTCCAGGCTGCTCGGAGCCTGCTGCCAGGTGAAGTATCAGCTAGCCTAGAGCAACGGAGTGGCAGGCCACATGGTCTCCTCCCCCTCCTGAGAGCACAGCAGGGTACACGCTCACTAGAGCTGCCACAGAGGGGCTGGACAATGCAGGTAGCAGGGAAGAGAGCATCACGGAAATAAAGTCCTTTTCCATACGGGCAAGAGGAGGAGATGCAGGAACAGGCTGGTGCCCAACAGCAGCCCCCAGCTACTCCACTCAGCTCCAATGCGGGCCACAGGCTGCCCTTCAGAAGAGACTGTGGTGAGGGCAGGCAGGGAGAAAATACAAATGTTAGGCTTGATAGGTGGATCCCTGAGCATTTGCCATATTGCCAAGTTTCCAACTCAGAGCTTGCATCTGTTTCCAGGGAAATAGGTTGTTCCCGCACAGCGCAAGCGCTCTCCTTCAGTGCAACAGAGGTAGGGCTACGTTGGAGCGCCAGGGACAACGTGACCCATGGACTTGCTTTTCCCGCTTCTCAACTCACACAGTGCAGACGGACAGTGGTGAGAAACGATGGAGGATTTCATGTGCTTTTCATGGAGCCAGGGGAACAGCTGCTCTGCTCTCCTGAGCAGCAACACAAGGGAAGAGAAACGAGGCCCCTGATCAGCCCGTCACTAGAAAAGCGCCGCCAGCCTAAGGAATCCAGAAGCCTTCAGTCATAAGGCTATACACTGCATGTTAACAAGCCACCAGGTTGTGCAGCACAGAAGGCAAGCCAAGCAAATGAAACCCACAGGTGGTAAGTTCAAGGGGAAAACAAGACATTAGTTTCTTTAGGTCCTTTTAATTGGAGGGACTCAGGCTTGTATGCATCCACAAGAGTTTGACGCTAATGAACCGTGTCAGCTGGTACCGTCTCCCCAGATTAGCCTCCCAACCTCCCACGCCCAGCCCAGCCTGGCTGTGGCTGCCTCCAGAGACAGCGGGACGCACAGGGCACTCCTGTGCCAGCACTACACGTTTTCATTGCAACCCAGCGCTAAAGTGCCACAGTGAAATAAAGCAAATTTCTCATTTGCTCTGTAATTAAGCACTGGGCCTTGAGGTTCCTGTCTGAATAGAACATCGTATCAGCTCCCACCAGACTTGGCACCAATACCAGGGTTTGTACTCTGCAAATGCAACTTGAACTGATAACTTAAACAGTTCATTGAAAAGGAGAGAGAGAGGAAGCTTGGACTTAAAAGTAGATGTGATTTGACAATTTCTGGATGCTGTTTTTGGTTCAACTCCTCCATTTCTTTCTTAGATTTCAAGAGAAGAAGTCTACGTCAAATCTAATCTATGCATTTGTTAGGAACAGCTAAGGCTGAATAGACCTCATTTCCCTGTGCAACACTGGAAGTTTTTGGTCATCTCTTAAATCTAAGTCTGTCAGGTGACATAAATTGAGAGGAAAACCTCTTGCAAAAAGTGGTATTTCTTCAACAATCCAGAAGGACAACTTAGCACATCTACCATGTTACATAAAAATTTTTCCATGACAGAACTTCTTGCCTGCCACTGCAGGCAAAGAGGAGAAAGAAAATATGTTTTTTCAAACCTCGTTTCCTGACTGCCTGGAAGAAACCAATGCAAAGCATCCAAAAAGATAGAATGAAGGCCACTGATGCTTCATATGCATATACAAAGCATAACACAGTATTACGGAGATAAGCAGCACCATGCCCTGTCAGCAGGCCTTTCTTGCAAAGCCAGTCAGGAACCTCAGTTTGTATCAGGAATCAACAGTCTGTAAGCAAGGAGTTATGTATCAACAAATCATACTGTTTGGTGGGAGAGCCACCCAGGCTGAGCCTCTCCCCTCCAAACGCCCCTCGGGAGGGCAAGACACCTCTGTCTGCGCAGGGCACCCAGAACTCACAGCTCCGCTGTGTGGGTTTCATCTGCAGTGAACACCAAGACAAGATTTGTTATCTGCTCCGTGTCTGATGTTACAAGTGACAAAACAGGAAAGATGAAGATTATCAACATGAGCTCTTTGCCTGTTGCACTCCTTTCTTTAGATGCTTTGAGGGCTAGGGAAATATTTTCACCACTGACTGGTACTGCGCAACTGACTCTGGAGCCTAGGAGGGTACATTTATATCAGTGAGACCCCCACGGGTCTTCCTAACAGAAAGTGGAACATCTCAGAGAAGAGAATTTGACCTGGCATTGGCCTCCCATTAAAAATAATAATAACAGTAATAAAAAAAAGAGTCAATTCCATGAGCCTCTCCTGAAGAAAAAGAACAAGTCCTAGAAAAAGTCAGGGCTGCACCAAACAATACCCGACTGTCTCAGTACAAATAGAAGGCACACCAAAAAACTTGTGCATGCTAAAATAGCCACGACAACTGCATGAAGTTGCCCTGTGGGAAGATGAAATTGGGTTACCAGAGTTACCTTTACCACCTCGGAAGGGAGTTTTCAGATCAAACCAGAGCCAAAGGTTGATCTCACAAAGCTACAGATTCTCCTGACTAGATTCTGTAACAAGAGTGGAGGATTTGTAGAAATGCCTGAAAAATGGATCAGAACAGTCTTGCAAGAATTCTAGCAAACAAATAGTACGTATAGGTTCACAAGCAAACACAGCCCTCTAGCGTCAGAGTAGCGGCTCTCCAAGAAGGGGAGCAGCACCCAGCACAAGAGTCACAGCCCACCACAGCTAGCAAAGCCAATTCAGAGCAAGGTAAAGAAAGAACGAGGTGGGGGGGCTGCTTGCATACATCTTACTCAAGAAGTAGACTGTAATCTTTTATCTCCCTTCCTGCCACCAATCACTATCATATTGCAAGACTAAGTAACGACCGCAGCTGATGCCAACATTCAACAGCATTTTGATCAGACAGAGCTGATTAGCGAGAGCACACCACATCCCAAGGCTGTTTCCTCTGGGAGGGACAGACGGTTGCTAATGAACACTATGGCAGGACATCACTGAAGCTCTCTTACAGCCCCTTTCTGGCACTGGAAAAATTGCAGCAAGAGCTTCTTTCAGTAGCCCAGAAGAACTAAACGATGTTAATCCCCAGCGCTAGCCTCCTACCTGCTGTTTGACCCTCCAGCACCATACAAGAAGGTTCTCAATAGCACAAGAGCGTTTAAGCACAGCAGAACCAGGAGCAGTCTGACAAAGCAAGAGACACTCATTTCATAGTCCTGCAAGAGGGGCATGCAAAGAGAAGAATAAAATATAGCCTTAACCCAAAACACAGCCATTGCTCCCCTACTCCCCTGAAAGGGCAGTTGGTGACTTGCACTTTTAACAAAGGACACACAAGGAACAGTCATTGCCTACGGCTTAAACCCCAAACACAGGCATGCCTGAGAAAAGCAACAAAGAGGCACTGCAGGAGAGTTTTACTCAAGAATCAAATGCTCTATGAGACCTCTCTCCCTTCTCGACCTGCTCTAGCTGATGCTGGGAAGCAGCCTCACATTGCAGAGGCCCTCCTGAGACCATAACCCCACAGCCGGAGCCTCCCTGTGCAAGGTACGCTGCGGAGCGCGTTTATGTGACAGCAGCCTTGACACAGCCTTCCCTCTGTCGTGATGCGCGAGCACCCTGTCACACTTGCGCCCTGTCACACTTGCGCCCCGGCCAGCTCGGGGAAGGAACTCGGGAGGTTTCCACTCGCACGGTGTTCTCCCCGGCACGCACTCTGCTCGTGTTCGCTGCCATGCCAAAGTCGAACATCTCTTCGTTTCCTGGGAAACTGCCACCCTGTCCTGCAGGCTCCTTCCCATTCAGCTGCTACACCTGTCCCCTAGGCTGCACCAGCCTAACTGGCAATCGAGCTACCGGGGCGCGCTTGGAGCGACACGGGGAAGACGACGCTGCCACATGCTGTGCCATGCTAGCTTCGAGTTCTTCTGCACCACTGAAGACGCGTTGGGCCTTTTCCCAGAAAACTGCAAGTCAGGGACTGCGTGTGGATAGAAGAGCTTTTCTCATTGACCACCTTCACACTACCACCTAGGCTTCATTCTGGCACTGGCTGCTCTCTATTAACTTCTGATTAAAAAAAAAAAAAAGTGCTTGGCCAAAGCACCTTTTTTGCTGAAGCCAAACAGTGCTGTTAATAACTGCAGAGGTTATGCTGGAGGCGAGTGCCATACAGCCGGCCCTGGCTGCTGTGCGCCAGGCAGGCATGGTTTGTCCCGCTGTGGCAGGTTGCACAGTCCAAACAAGGGACTGCTACCCAGCCCCTGCCAAAAGCTCTCCTCACTCATCCCCACATCCTCTTGTGGATCGTCTTGTAAAAGGCAGAGCAAGTGAAAGAGCTGGGCAGCAAAGGGAAAGTAGAATTTAAGAGACACCCATGCAAATAGCTCTACATCACATCCAAAGGAAAGCAGTTAATACTTTGTACAGGGAGAAGCACAGACAGCTGTCCAAGTGCCAAAGCATGGCAGAAAGAACATCGGAGCACAGACAAGTTCCTTGAAAGCCCGCAGAACAGAAACAGATGGAGAAAAATCTCTTTGAAAGGGAAATACCACAAAGACACTTTGGAAAGTCCTGCCAACTTCCCGGTGACCCTCCAGGGACGCAGAGATCACAGGTGGTTTCACACGACTCGCTGTCACCAAGCGCCCTGCTCCAGCAGCGTCCCTGATCAGGACTGTGAACAAAGCAATAATCAGTCCTTTCCTCACTCACCACCCTGAGAAGCTGGCCCAGCACACAAGCCCTGCGTGACTGCTCTGCAGCCTCAGGCCAGGATACAACGCCTCTGTCTAAGGAAAGGGAATTTCTCTTTGGCAGGGGCATGCACACACACAAGGCCAAGCAAGCCGTTGTCTAACCCACGTTGGAAGGGTCTGTCAGAGAGTATCAGCTTCCCAGAACCAAATTCTCTCCTTGCCAGGCCCTAACCTCCAAGGCTCCAGATTATCAGGGCTCCCTCCCTCCAGAGTCCCAAGACCATTTAAGTATCTGACCCTGAGCCCTGCAAAAGAGTGGGGTACCACACCCTAGAGACATGGTGAAGGCACCCCTGTACTGCTAGGGAGTTGGGGCAGGCAGGCGGGACTTTGCTCTGAACACTGCCAGGGCACAGAGCAACCCCCTGCGGCTGCACAGAGTTTAGCTGGGGACACAAACCTTTGTCCTTTATCTGCTTTCCCCCGGGGGATTGCCCGGGTATCCCCAACTTGACTGCCCTGCACTGGAAGCTGGAAAGCAGACTCCTCCGTTCCTGCCAGGCAAACTCTACACACACTGCTCAGTTCTGAAGAAAGCTTTCATTCCCTGAGAGAACACAGGGCAAGCTGAACACAAAATGACCCCGACTTACATAGTAGTTTTTAGGCAGCCCATTGACTTGAGCTTTCACAGTACACGTAGAGGTTGTGATTTCCAGGAAAACAGAGCAAGCAGAACACAGCACTGCCTGAAGGTACTTACCTGTTAAAATATTTTCAGACAGTACATTGACTTGGACTTCCACAGAGTGCTTGGAGGTGTAGGTGATCTCTGCGCTGACGTTAGCCACCTCGCCGATGCACATGGGAGAGAGGAAGTCCGTACGCTCCACCCGAGCCAGGGCAGCCACACAGGGCTCCTAAAAATTGCAGAGGAGCCAAGGTTAACACCTGCTGAAACCAAGCCCCCACAACTCTGGCTAAGCTCTGAATGAGGACTCTCTGCTTTACAGAACTGTCACCCTCTCCCCGGAGTGCAGGCTAGCACAACCAAAGTGAAGAGGGCATACGGAGACTTCATGCAGGAGTTTTTGTCAGCACCAGGAACTGAAGGAAATCCACTGGTGGGGCACTGAGCAGAGACAACACTGGCCAGCTGCCCTTTCGCTCCCCAGCCACAGCTCTGCTATGGACCCTTCCTCAGGAAGCACTACTGACTTCCCCCTTTAATAAACAAGAAGCTTGTTTGTTAAATAAAAACCAAGTTTCCAAAGTTGTGATAAATTATCTTGCACATAAAATACAAGTTTTATTACAGTCAGTCAAAGAAGCAAGGCTGAGCCACTATTCAATGGTAACCAAAGCACTGCAGCTGAAAGTAAATTCTCACTCCTATAGGAAGAGAAAGTCAATTCTCATATAGCTTAAAAAGTTATCCTGATATTAGCCATTAGATTAGGTGTAAAGAGCAACCCCTGCCTTTACTGAAACCAGCACCTGCTTTGAACAGTTGCACTATTGGCCTTGCAAAAATCATGCCCAAAGGATTGCCTGAAAACTTACTGTTGAACAGTGGACGTTGTTTTGCTGTGTTTGATACCTGTTTAATAGGGAAAACAATCTGGATGAGCAGGACTTGAGTCTTATCAGAGAGGGGCAGTAATATTTCAGGTACTCCTGAATGCTGTGGAAACACTTACAACTCAGCCAAAAAGTAAAGGTAGGATGCTACCTAGTTTACCAGTGGTAGGGGGAAGCTCTAGCAGTGGCATCACATCAGCAGTTTACTTATAAAAATAAGCACTTCTGATAAAGATTAATTACTGCAAAGAGCTCTCAGAACTAAACAGTTTACTTTCTGAAGTCATTAAAGATACTACAAGGTCCCTTGGGAGGAAGACAACGCAGTGCTCTGTGCCCCGTCGTCCCGCAGGAGGCGGGCAGGGGAAGGCAAGCAGGCACAGGACAGACACCGAGGCTGCTCTGCCTTTTGCTAGGCTACAGAATTGCTCCCCTAGGAGAGCCTCGCGGGAGCTGCAACCGCTTGCACAGCAGACTTCCCAGCTAGGAATAAAGACAACCAAGCAAAGCCCCACGCAGTCTCTCTACCTGGCAGTTGGCCTCTCACTGCAGTAATTAGTTTGCAGACTAAATCCCATGGGACATGGAGCAGCCTCTTCTGTGGGCACCTAGCCAAGCACTTCCAGGCTTCACTGCTGCCTAGAAGTCACCAGGACAGCCCTAGTTATCACGAGTTACAGCAAAAAGCACAACTTTGCTGCATCTCCCAACAGCTTCTGAGGCTCAGTCGTGAGGCTGGGATACTGTGGATCTCTCAGGGAGCTGAGGGAGGATTTTGCCAAGATTTGGGAGCAGGTCTGTACTGTGCGGCCTATAAACCCCTCAAAGGCCTCAAAAACTGACCTGCGACAAGACTGCAGTCAGGTAGGTAAGAAAGGCAGGAGATGGGCTCAGGAAACAAGGGCCTTGTGCAGCCACCTACCAAGGAGGACTACAGGCAGGGCGTGCAGACAGAGAGGGGAGAGGGAATCCCAAGGAGCGCAGTCAGCCAAACGCGCATGAAAGCTAAACCTCTAGCTTTGGTGTTTATGAGCATCAGAGGGTGTTTATCAGAGGGTGTCATGTAACCGATTTGTGAACTACTCAATAAACAGCAAAACTAATCCTGCCACAAAGTAGGTGGAAAATGGCTTCAAGATGACACTGATTCACATATCGGAGAACAGCTCACTACGGGGAGAACCCATGGAGTCCACCTGCAGCGAGGTGCAAGCTGCACACAAAAAACCCGACTCCTGAAGGCTCTGCTGTGCACCTCAGGCTCCCTCCTCACCACAGCTGGTGGAACAGAGGGCAGATGAGCAGCAAAGTCCCCACGGAAACATTTCTACTAGGAGAAAACCAAGAGCATAGGAACAGGCTAAACCACAAAACCATCTGTCAAACAGCAACCATTTGTAAGGCCAGGAAGAGTAAGCCACCAGCTTCTTCCTTTCACAGCCAAGTCTTCTGAGTCCTGCCTCAAGATGTGATGGAGGACAAACCCCGATCAAGTGTCAATAAGCACCTTAGCAAGTCCCCAGTCTGAGCTGCTTTGGACACACCAGTTTCCTGACAAAGGGAAACCAAGCTCCTGTTCAAGGCAGAGCAAGCAGAAAAAGGACAGATGCGCAGAGGACAAACTTGGAGCTTCTCCAGTGTGAAGCGTCAGCGCAGGGAAGGCTCTGAAGCCTCAGACTGAGCGCTAAACCAAACCAGAGAGCAGTGCTCCTTACAAGACGCCGGGGCTTTGCACTGGGTTTCTAGCACTTCCTGTGGGAAAGTGCTTTCAGTAACAGCGCAGCACCTCAGAGCACAGAGCCAAGAGCCAGAGCTGACGGCACAAGGGACTGCAGCAGCACAGCTGCAGGAGAGGCTTGAACAGCAACCTCCTTCCTGCAGCCACTGCAAGCACCCGGGCAGAGCACCGTGACTTGGATCATGACCCTTTATGAGTTGTGCCTGTGGGGTTTTGTTTGTTTGTTTGTTTGTTTTTTAACATCTGCAGGGGGGAGTACAAGCTCCCAGCCACACACAAGGGTACTGCAGACAACGCGTACAAACAACGCAATACAATTGGATACAGTGTTTACGAGCGTACGCTCACAAACTATAGCTCTTTGCCCCTTGCTGCCCCCGTCCTGCCCCCCGAATTCAGCAGGCTGTGCACAAAGCTGGTGAGTCACCCTCCAGGCACGCTCAGGCCGCAGCAGCACACACTCACCCCCGCCTGGGAATTGCAGTGCCGGGTACTGATGATGGCTCCAGCCTCCTCGATCATCTTCAGAACGGTGCCCCCATGGACGTTCCCTGCGATGTTCGCATCGTCCGGGCGCATAATCCTGGGGGAAAGTCACAGGAGCTCAGCCGGTTGGGTCACCCTTCCTTCCCTTATCGTGCCCAGCCTCAGGACAGGAGAGCTGACCCTCCCGCAAACAAGCCCAGCGCTGAGCAAAGGTCAGCTGGTGCAAGAAAAGAGAAAGGCCGTTCTCAATGTAGCAGGAAATTGCTTCATCTGCCCAGCTAGGAATTTCACTTTCTCCTTCCCCAGCGCAGGTACTTTACTGGTGCAAGCGCAGGCAGCGCAACCACCTACCATAAACTGAGAATTCAGATCTCCTGGGTGTGACACGTTTCACACAGCGAAGTCACACAGTTAGCCACTTGCTGACACGCTCTGGCGACTAGGTTGGTCTGCCACCACGTTTGGGGGTGCCCTCCAAGAGCAGAGGCGTGCCCAGGTACAGCTGAAAATCCCCACTCCCCTGCACCGTCCACAGGAGGGGATTCGCATACTACTGCCCTTTCCTGTCCTTCATCACTACCCTCCTCCTCACCGTGTTCAGGGAGGAAACGCAGAATAACTCTTCCTTCCTTCCCTGCAGGAAATGGTGGTTACCAAACCTGAAAAGCAAGTCAGGAACAGGAGCAACACCCAGCATACGGAGGCTGGAGGTGTGCCTGAAGCACCATGTCCCGCAGGAGCGAAGGCTCTGCTGCTTTCAACCGGAGGCAGAGTGCAGCGCAGGCACCTCGCCAAGCACAGCGCGGCACCCTGCCAAGCTGCGTTACACGCAGCCCCGCTGCTCCGTGGGCACCGCTCCCGTGAGCTGGTGCGTGGCGGTGGCCGCCGCATCCCATCACGAACCAGTGAGGCTTTCACAACCCGCCAGCTCCCCCCAA